ACCGCTCGGCCCCTTCATTCTGATAAGACCAGGAGCGGGCGACCGCCCAGCCTGAGCAGTGATCTCCTCGCGTCGTGAACAAAAGCGGCGGCGGGTTTTCTGCATTTTCGGTTTGTGGGAGCTTCCGCCGGGCCCAACGGCCATTCAAAGACGACTCGAGATGAAAAACCGATCCCGGGGAAGTAGTCGAGACCCCGCGCCCGAAAGCTCGTCTCTACGAGCCCTCTTGGGACTTTTGGGCGCTTTCGGGGCCATATTGAAGTCCCGATGACCCCTTTTGGGACTCTATTGGGCGATCTTGGAGCTGTCTTCAGGTTCCAGCGGCCACTCGGAAACGATAGTGCGAGAAAGCAAACATATACACACACACACACAAACAAACAAAAAAACAAACAAGCAAACAAACAAGCACACACACAAACACAACACACAAACAACACACACAACACACAACACACATACACACACAACACACATACACACACAACACACATACACACACTCACACAAACACAAACACAAGCACACACAAGCAAACACAAAAACAAACACACAGACACAGGCACACAGACACACAGGCACAGGTACACAGACACACAGACACCGACACACAGACACACTAACACACATACACACACTCAAAATCACACAAACATACAATCACACACAAATCATTAGAAGTATCTCTCACATTAACTCAAACACACACAGGAAAAAAGGAATATATATATATATATATATATAATAAAAAAAAAAAAAAAAAAAAAAAAAAAAAAAAAAAAAAAAAAAAAAAAAAAAAAAAAAACGCGCACACACATACACACACACAACACACACACCACAAACAAAACACACACACACAACACACACACACACACACACACAACACACACAACACACACACAAAATATACACACACACACACGCACTGAGCAGCCTTTGGATTTTGCAAGGTTTTGGTTTTGCAGGGCCTGAGGAGGCTCTTTGACCACTCGGAGCCGCCTAAGGGCGGTGTCGGATACTCTCGGAAGCATGCTGGAAGTCGTCGTGAGCCCTCTCGGGCGACGTCGTACGGTCTTGGAGGCCGTCTTGCGCTATCTGGGCTGGACGCTGCCGTGGGGCGCGGGGCGGGGTGGGGCGTCCAAGCCCAGGGGAGGGGGCAGGAGGAGGGCACCTCCATCACCGACGCGGAAGCAGGGGGTTGGAGGAGAGACCGCCTTGAACGAAGGGGCCCTGGGACACACGAGTAAATACACACAAATAAAAAAGATTCCCCACACTTTCCCATATTTTCTGGGGCTTGGTCTTCCCCCCCACGTCCCATATGTTCCTCTATTTTCTGGGGAATCGGTGATTAATTGTGTCTGTGTGTTTTTTGCTCCCTCCTGATTGAACCATCCTGGACCCAGGGAGAGTTGTTGGCACTCCTGCTGAGGACCCACGGAGGAGGAACGAACAGGCAGTGAATTCATCGTCGGCTAGCATCTTGGCCACGAGACTCTGGAGAGGTGGCGAGAGCCGAGTCAGTTTTGCAAAGCTTGTGGTACACATTGTTTCATAAAGTCAGCAATGATGGTGGTGATGATGATGACGGCAATGATGACGATGACGATGGCGATGACGATGCCGAGCATGATGAGGATGAGGACCAGGATGATGATGCTGATGTTGGTGATGCTGCTGATGATGATGGTGATGGTGATGGTGATGTTGAGGATGATGCTGATGCTGATGATGTTGATGATGATGCTGATGATGATGATGGTGATGATGATGGTGGTGGTGATGATGACGCTGTTCATGATGCTGATGGTGTTGCTGATGATGATGATGATGATGATGATGATGATGATGATGATGATGATGATGATGATGATGATGATGATGATGATGACGATGGTGATGGTGATGACGATGATGGTGGTGGTGATGGTGATGATGTTGATCCTGATGATGATAATGATGCTGCGGGTATGATGATGCGGTTGATGCCGCTGCGACTGATGCCGCTGCTGTTGATGCTGCTGCTGATGCTGCTGCTGATGCTGCTGCGGCTGATGCTGCTGCGGCTGGTGTTGCTGTGGCTGATGTTGGGTATGATGATGATGATGCTGATGCTGATGATGATGCTGATGCTGAGAATGACGATGATGATCACGATTGTGTTGATGACGACGATGATAACGATGATGATAACGATGATGATATTGATGATGCCGATGATGATGGTGATGGTGATTATGATGTTGATGATGATGATGTTGATGATGATGATGATGATGTTGATGATGATTATGATGAATATGCTTAGTAGTATCATTACTCTTAATGTTACGGTTGTTACTATGAGTATGATGAGGAGGAAGAGGGGGAGGAAGAAGAGGAGGAGGAGGAAGAAGAAGATGAAGAGGAGGAGTCGGAGGAGGAGGAGGAGGATAAACTCTGAAGACCCCCTTTGTTAGTGTTCCCTGTCGTGGCGATTGTGGCCGTACCCAAGGAGATGCAGGAGCTCGCCCGCCGTGGCCTCTGCTGGATGCACGGGGTCAGTTTCCCTCCTCGCTCTCTCCCTGCCCCCCTCCCCTAACCTACCCTCCCCTCTGCCTCCCCTCTGCCTCCCCTCTGCCTCCTCCTCCCTCCCTCCTCCTGAGGCGGCGCGCAGACTGGTGCAATGCCGAGTCCGACCTTCCTCCCTCCCTGCTCCCTCCCTCGCCACTCCCTGTCCCCTTCCCTCCTTCCCTCCCTCGCTCCTCCCTCCCCCCCTCCCCTCGCGACAGACTCCCGACGTCACGTTTTTTTGTTTCACAGCGTCGACCCCCGGAGATCTCGACCCGCCTCCCTGGAACGGTTTTTTCGCCCCGAGCTGGTTTTTTGTTGACGGCCCCGTGGCCCGGCGAGGACCCTCAGGGCCCCCGCCCCCCAAAAAAAAGGTTCTGCTGTCGACGACACGTAAGAGAGTGACCCTGCGCCGGAGTGACCTCTGGCGCGGGCTCAGTGGGGCCCCCCGGATCGCATAACCCGATGCGGTAGCAGCGTCTTGCGCGCGCGCGTGTTTGGCCCCCCGCGGCCCCCAACAAGAGCTGCGCACCAGAGGCCACTCTTACCAGGAGGAAAAGAAACACACAGACACAATCAATCCTCGATTCCCTAGAAAATCTGAAAAATATGGGAAGTGGGGGGGAAGACAGAAACCCAGAACATATGGGAAAATATGGGGAACATCTTTATTTGTGTGAATTGATTTGTGTGTCCTGGGGCCCCTTCATCTTACCCCGGGTCACTCCTGCGTGTAGCCGGTATTGGCGGTCCCCGCGGCCCCATGGAGGCCCCGGCCGCCCCCCCCGGGGGGGGCAGCTTCTCGCCCTGTCTCTGAGCGTCCTGGGGCCCCGCGGGGCCGAAGCCTCAGGGCCTCACTAAGGAGGGAAAAAAAGACACACAGACACAATGAATCGTCGATCCCCCAGAAAATATGGAAAAAGATGGGAAGTGGGGGGGGGAGACAAGAACCCCAAAAATATGGAAAATATGGGGAATCCTTTTATTTGTGTCTACTTATTTGTGTGCCCGAGGGCCCCTTCACTCACGAGAGTCGAGGCCTCCCAGATTGGGTCCGAGCAGATGGGGTCGGAGAAGCGCGCCGCATCGCCGATACAACGGCGATGCAGCTCGATGTGGGGCCCGATCTCCCAACGCCGACTTCGCCGATGCATTGCCCATGCGTCGCCATCGCATCGCCAAACATGGCCGATGCATCGCGATCCTCCAGCCCCATCTACTCGGACCTCATCTTGGAGGCCTGTAGTCGAACGGCGGGATCTATACATATACACTGCCCCGTGGCCGGCCGGGCCCCTCCTGGGCCGAGGAGTTGTGTAGACGCCCTCCTGGCCAAGCCAGGAAGGCGTGGCGTACACACCGCCGCTGAGCTCAGGATGGGCCTTGCCAGGGAGCAGGAGGGGGAGGAGAAGGAGGAGGAGGACGACGAGGAGGAGGAGGAGGAGGAAGAGGAGGAGGACGGGAGAAGAGGAGGAGGTGAATGAGGAGGAGGAGAACGTGGTGGTGGAGGTGAAGTGGACGTGTGCAGATTTCGCCGCCCTATCTAGAGAGGTCGGCGCCCAGGGCGGCGAGCCGATGCATCGGCCCCCACGGGCCGCCGCCGCACGCGAGCCCCGCGGGCGCCGCGCGCGAGCCCTCGGCCCTGGGGGCGCTCGCGGGGATCTCGCCGCGGAGAGCGGCGCCCTCGTGGGCCACGCGGCCCGCCGGCGGGGAGCCGGATGCCGCCCAGCTTCGGGGGGCGTCGGCTGACCTCCTTGGGCCGCCGAGGTGGGTCCTCCTCCTCGTCCTCCTCCTCCTCCTCCTCCCTCCTCCTCCTTCCTCCTCCCCTCTCCTCCTCCTCCTCCTCCTCCTCCTCATCCTCCTCCTCCTCCTCCTCGCCTCCTCCTCCTTCGCCCCTCCTCCTCCTCCTACTCCTCCTCCTCCTCCTCCTCTCCTCCTCCTCCTCCTCCTCCTCCTCCTCCTCCTCCTCTCCTCCTCCTCCTCCAGGTCCTCCCTCCTGGTCCTCCTCTCCTCCTCCTCCTCTCCTCCTCCTCCTCCTCCCTCCTCCCCTCCTCCTCCTCCTCCTCCTCACTATCTCTTCTGCTCCTTTCCTCCTCCTCCTCCTCCTCCTCCTCCTCCTTCTCGAGGTCCCCCTCCTCCACCCATCCTCATCCTCTCCTCATCCTCATCCTCATCTCTCCTTCTCCGAGGTCCTCCCTCCCTCCTCCTCCTCCTCCTCCTCTCCTCCTCCTCCAGGTCCCTCCTCCTCCTCTTCTCCTCCTCCTCAAGGTTCGTCGCCTTCTCCTCCCCCTCCTCCTCCTCCTCCTCCTCCTCCTCCTCCTCCTCCTCCTCCTCCCCCTCCTCCTCTCTCCTCCTCCTCCTCCTCCTCCTCCTCGAGGTCCTCCTCCTCCTCCTCCTTCTCCTCGAGGTCCTCCTCACTCCTCCTCCTCCTCCTCTCCTCCTCCTCCTCCTCCTCCTCCTCCTCCTCCTCCTCCTCCTCCTCCTCCTCCTCCACCTCTCCCCTCCTCCTCCTCCTCCTCCTCCTCCTCCTCCTCCTCCTCCATCTCTTTTCCTTATAGATCCTCCCTGTCGCACCCCGTCACGTGTCGGTAAGGCGGGCTGGGCGTTTCTCCTGAACAATGTATGATCATGGAGCTGAAAATGTGCAACAGCTTCCAGGATTGAGGGTTGATCCTTTTCATAATGCGGTTCTCGCGTTGGCGCCGCGCACATTCGTATTACATGCTGCGACAGTTTCAAAGATGGAGGGCGGGTCGTTGTCAACATGTGGCTCTCGTGTTAGTGCCTCGCACGTTCGTCTTAAAAGCTAGCAACAGCTTCACGGATGGAGGGCGGTTCCTTTTCAAAACGTGGTTCTCGTTTCCGCGCCGCGCACGCTCGTCTGAAGAGTTTGCAAGAGCTTCACGGGTGGAGGCCCCTTCCTTTTCAAAATGTAATTCTCGCTTTGCCGCACACATTCATCTTCAAAGTTTGCAACAGATTCAAGGATGGAGGGCTGCTGCTCTTCAAAATGTGGCTTTCGCCTTCGCGCCGCGCACGCTTGCCTGAAAGCTTGCAATAGCTTCAAGGATGGAGGGTGGTCTCTTTTCAAAACGCGGTTCTCGCCTTCGCGCCGCTCACATTCGTCCTAAAACTTCGAGCACTTTCAGGGGTTATTATGGCTGGCGTCCCCGAAACGGTGTTCCAGCACGATTTGGGACTGTCAGGGCGCAACAGTCACGTTGATTCGCGGTGTTGATGTCCCAAGAGCGGATTTCTGGCACCATGCAGGATGGTCAGGACGCAACTGTAATGCCAATTCGCGGTATTGAAGTCCTGGAAATGGTAATGCGGCACAATTGAGGATTCTCAGACGAATGTCTTCCAACGGGACACTTCCGAATGTGAAAATAGTTCTTTGTAGGGACATATGAAGAGGGAACTTGAAGGGAGGGTTGACTGCAACATCGTTGCGTCTTGGGTTTGCACTGGTTCTCCTCCTTCTCCTCCTTCTTGATCGCCGAGCGCGTTCCACTACTCGCAAAGTGCCTACTCGCAAGCGTCCGAAAAAAACATACGTCTGCCTTTGTGTCATGTGTCGCAAAAATCCTGTGGGGCTGATCCAGTCCATTTGCCAGTAGCTACTTTCCGAGTAGTGGAACGCGGGATGGCACTCCTCGTCCTCCTCCTCCTCCTCGTCCTCCTCCTCCTCCTCCTCCTCCTCCTCCTCCTCTTCCTTGTCCTCCTTCTCCTCCTCCTCCCTCCTCCTCCCTCCTTCTCCCTCCTCATCCTCCTCTTCGTCCTCCTCCTCCTCCACCTCCTCCTCCCCCTCTTCATCCTTCTTCTCCTCCTCCTCCTCCTCCTCCTCCTCCTCCTCCTCCTCCTCCAACCCTGGCGGGTTGTCTTTGACCTCGGACCTGCCGCGGCCGTTCTCGGGCGCCTTGGGGGGGTGGCTTCTGGGGCCGCGGATCGAAAAAAATTGCAGTCAAGACGCCGAAATGAGAAGCTCCTTCTCCTCTTCCTCCTCCTCCTCCTCCTCCTCCCTCCTCCTTCTCCCCCGTCTCCTCCTCCTCCTCCTCCTCCTTCCTCCTCCTCCTCCTCCCCTCCTCCTCCTCCTCCCCTCCTCCTCCTCCTCCTCCTCCTCCCCCTCCTCCTCCTCCTCCTCCTCCTCCTCCTCCTCCTCCTCCTCCTCCGCACAGGGGCTCGATGTTCCTTGGGTCCCTGCGTGGCTGTTGCTCCAGCCCCCCTCGTGCCCGCAGGCGCCTTTTGCGGCCAAGAGGGGGTTCCGTTCCTTCCTGGTCGTTCCCTATTGCAGCAGCCCTTTTTGATCGTTCCCTCTTGATCGTTCCTTCTTCATCGTTCCTTGTTGCAGCAGCCCGACTTTGGGTATCCGCGGATGTCGGGGGACGGCCTCGCCGGCCTCTGGGTGGGGCCCTCGCTGGAGCCCCGCGGCCGTCCGCGGCCGCTCGGGGCGGGGAGCGGGGGGGGGCCCGAGGACGAGGCCCGGCCCTCGGGGCCCCCGTGGTGCGGCAAGCCGTCGCGTCGCCGCCTGTCTGGGCGATCCTGTGGGACCGCGCCCCCTGCTCCAGTCCATGGCGTACCTTGTCCTGTGCAAGATCTTCGGCACCGCCTGTTTTCTGAGCCCTCCGGCCGCCTGAGGCCCCGCCCGCCCGCGCCCTGTCTCCCCAATTAGGGCTACCCGCGTCCCGTTTAGCTCTTGACCAGAAGGGGCCCGCTCCCGACCCGCAGACCAAAAAGTCTGGGCGATCCTGGCCGGGGCGATGCTGGGCCCAAGAGCGGCACACGCGCCTCCCTGGGCCTAAGGTCGGGTCGGCCAGAAGCGGTCGCCTCGCCTCGCGTCCTCGCTCGCCGTGCGCCCCGCTCGCCCTTCGCGTGCGGTTCGGCCCCGCGTGCGGCGTGGGCGACGGAAGAAGACGGGGTCGGCTGCGCGGGCATGCGCGCGTCAGCGTCCCGCAGAAGGTTGCGCGTGAGCGCCCTCCTCTCCAAGCGGCGTGCCATTCTGGCGGCCCGCGCAAGCCGCCGCGCAGGGCCGCCGTGGCACCTTGGGCAACACCCGGTTCGTGTCGCCGCTCGCGTGAAGTCACTCATTTTGTGGCGCCTGCCGACGCGCCACGAGCCCCCTGGTTAAGTCGGGCCTGTCCCTCTACAGGAAAATTCAAAATAGTGAATAGTTGTAATAAAAAGTAGTATGGGGACGATCTTTCCGTATTTTTGACAATTGGGGGGGTATTTTGTAACTGTTTTTTGTTTTTCGCCCAAATCTCCCTGTAGGAGGACCGGCCCGACTTAAGCCTGGCCTGACCTGACCTGGGCCACGCCGAAAGAAGACGTACACTCCGCCCCCGCGCCCAGGAGCAGCGGCCCACTGCCCAGGGATCGGTGGCCCACCGGTCAAGCGAGACTGCGCCCGCGCCGCGGCCCCAGGTCTCCGACGGCATGTTTTTGTGTTTGATCTGGGTGCGGAGCTTTCCCTCGATTTCTGCGTCCGGGGCCCTCGATTTCTTCCTCCTCCTCCTCCTCCTTTTCCTTTTCCTCCTCCTCCTCCTCCTCCTCCTCCTCCTCCTCCTCCTCCTCCTTCTCCTCCTCCCTTTTTCGTCCCAGGTTCGTTTCTGATTGTCCAAGGGCCCGATGGCGGGCCCCAGGGGCCGAAAAACCGAGGGAACACGCCGGGACTGCAGTAATCATGTCGCCAGGGAGGAGGAGGAGGAGGAGGAGGAGGAGGAGGAGGAGGAGGAGGAGGAGGGAGGAGGAGGAGAGGCCCAAGCTCGAGCCTCCGGCGGCCGTTCGGGGCGACTTGGGCACCCCCAGAACGCTCTCGACAAGGCGCGCAGCCGCTGAGGAGCGCCCCGAGGCTGGTGAGAATGCCCGAGGGCCGTCGAGCACGACCGAAAACTGCTAGTCGGTACGATCGACACGGGTACGGAAAGAACGGGGACGAAGATTGACAGCCGTTCTTGTCCGTTCTGGGCAAGGATTGCTGTCAGTACCGCCGCCGCGGGTGGACAACGATTGTTGTTGTTGTTGTTGTTGTTGTTGTTGTTGTTGTGGTGGTGGTGGTGGTGGTGGTGGTGGTGGTGGTGGTGGTGGTGGTGGTGGTGGTGGTGGTGGTGGTGGTGGTGGTGGTGGTGGTGGTGATGGTGGTGTTGCTGTTGTTGTTGAACTGTCATTTCTGAAGACTGATTATTGTTGATCCCCCCCCGTCCGGTGCACATTGTTTTTTCCGATTGAAGTGCCCTTCCCGGGGCTCGCACCCTGTTTTTTTATCAGGGAAAGTCTTGAGGGTCAAATTGTGTTGTTGGCCCCCGGTTTACAACAACAACAACAACAACAACAACAACAACAACAACAACAACAACGGTTCCCGCCTGATACTTCCTCACAATGTGTTGAAGAATCGCGCTCTCGCTTGGGACTTCGATGCAATTTACCACTGGATCGCGGCTCCCGCTTAATACTTCCTCACAATGGATTGAAGAATCGCGTTCTCGCTTGGGACTTCTCGCAACTTACCACCGAATCGCAGCTCCCGCCTGATACTTCTTCACAATTTATTCAGATGCCGCTCCTCGACACTCAGGAATCGCGCTCCCGCTACATATTGCCTGGCGGTTCAAGCAGAATTTACGCTTCAACGACCCGCCCGCTCGACCCGCCCGTCTGGGCCTGCCCGCCCGACCAGCCCGTTAGGGACTGCAGTCGCCGCTCGCTGCCCTTCGCCCGCCTTCGATGCCCCTCGCTGCCCGTACTGGTTCCGCGGTCGCCTTCGCTCGGTGCCCTTCGTGGCCCCGTTGCTGCCCTTCGTGACAGGGAATGAATATACCCCCAAAAGGGGGTAGGATCGAAGACGAAGAGGGCGGGTATCCAGGGTTTGGGATATGCATACTGAATGACACGCGAGCAGATAAGAGCGAACAGTCCCAAAATGATTGTTGTTGTTGGTGGTGTTGGTGCTGGTGTTGGTGTTGGTGTTGGTGTTGGTGTTGGTGGTGGTGCTGTTGCTGTTGTTGCTACTGCTGCTCCTGTTGGTGGTGGTGGTGGTGTTGTTGCTGTTGCTGCTGCTGTTGTTGTTGTTGCTGTTGCTGTTGCTGTTGCTGTTGCTGCTGTTGGTGGTTGTGGTGGTGTTGCTGTTGATATTGTTGTTATTGTTGGGCAGTGTGCCCGTTTTTGTCGATACCCATCCCTGACTTCGGCTCCGCAGCATTTTGTGGATTTCTCAATGTTTTAAATGTGCTGGAAATGCACCCCGCGCGATGCGAACACGTAGGGTGGAAATTCCCGCCTCAGAGAAAAAGTAGGGCGGATCGCTCCGCAAAAGTATGGCGGAAACAGTGACGGCAAAGTAGGACGGATATCGGCATCAAAGGAGCTTGACAGCTAGGGCGGAAATTTCCGCCCTACTTGCGAAACCGCCCAAAGTATTGGATGCTGGGCGACAAATCAGGGCGGCGGTCACCCGACGATCCCCGACCCTAGAATTCGCAAGTCCGACGTGAGTCCGACGTAACCCGACTGAAATCCGACGTGGATCCGACGTAAGTTGGGTCTCAAGCTACCGCGCGGGGCCTCCAGGACCTTCCGCATAACATCTTTGGCGTCCAGGTCTGGGCGACGGTCGGCCGGCAACCCCCGGTCCCAGAATTCGTCGGCCGCGCTGTCTGGGGCCCTCGGGGCCAGCTCGGGGAACAAACCACGACACCAACATAAACTTTGGGAGGCCCATGCGGATTTGTCGGATCGGCGCTGGGCCCCCCTGGCGGCGCCGCGCCGATCCGAGAAATCCGCGCGGATCTCCGAATCAGGGTCGTTGAACCGATCCCCATCCCCACCAGGCCACGGTATCTCGGCCCCACTTTTTCACACACACCCGTCGGGGACCGGCCCCTCGAGGCCCGAACAGAACGGGCCATATTCCCATCTGGGGGGGGTGCATCGGTCGGTGGGGCTCAGACCGCGCCAGTGGGAATAGGGATCGGCTACAGTCAACCCGCATAGTAAGGGTGGGCAATGTTCCCAAGGGTACCCTTGCATCCTTGCCTCCTCCGTCCAGCCTTTGCCACTTTCGTTAGCCGAGCCCCGCTGGAAAAAAGCTTCGAAATGGCCTTCCAAGGTCCTGACATCCTTATCGTGCATCCTTACGATACGGGTCGACTGCATCCGGAAAAAAAAACGCCATAAACATAAACTTTTAGCGCTCCGCGCGGGTTTCTTGGATCCGCGCTGGGCCCCCAGCGGCGCCTCCGGCGCCGCCCCTGGCGCGCGGAGCGCGCCAGGGAGGGGGGTCCAGCGCAGATCCAAGAAACCCGCGCGGAGCGCCAAAAGTTTATGCTAATGGCGTTTTTTGTTTCTTCCATGCACGGTAGGTTCCTGTCGACCGGCGGCGACCCCGCCAGCGGCGCTCAACGTTGAACGCCGCGGGCGGCCCAGAATCGTTCGGTGTGGAACGATTTGGACGCTCCGGAAACGGCCGATCGTTCGAGGTGGAACGATCCCCGCGGCGTCAGAAGCCAACGCCGAAGTCGGCACGACACGCACCTGACGTGCGTTGTTCGCCGTAAGTTTAATGTCCGTGTCGTGGCTCTGCTCCCCCACCGGCGCGGCGGACCCTGGCGCGCACCGCCACGCAGCCCCCGCACCCTCCGCGGCCGCGGCTGGCGAGGGCAGCGGGGGCGCCGCGGAGGCGCGGCGGTGGAGGGCTCGAGGCTCGAGGCCAGAGGCTGGAGGATCGAGGCTCGAGGCTCGAGGCTGGAGGACCGAGGTTCGAGGCTCGAGGCCAGAGGTTGGAGGATCGAGGGTCGAGGGTCGAGGCTGGAGCTCGGAGGACCGAGGATCGAGGCTCGAGGCCAGAGGTTGGAGGGTCGAGGGTCGAGGCTGGAGCTCGGAGGACCGAGGATCGAGGGTCGGGCGTTTTCGTGGGCTCTCGGCGGTTCTCCAGCCTCGGGGTGCGCTGCCGCTGCCGCGCCTCGCCGGAAGCCTTCGGGGGGGGGCCGGGTCGTCCCGAGTGGCCGTCGGAAGAGGCTCAGAGAGCTCCCCAGAAGGCTGGAGAGGCCTTCCCCCTCCGCCCTCCTCCTCCTTCGTCTCCTCCTCCTCCTCCCTCCTCCTCCCTCCTCCTCCTCCTCCTCCTCCTCCTCCTCCTCCTCCTCCTCCTCCTCCTCCTCCTCCTCCTCTTCCTCCTCCTCCTCCTCACGAACGAACGAGAGGCGGCCCGCCCCCTCCGCGAGGCGGGGGTGGTATCCATGGCCACTGCTCCGGGGTGTCGATATCCTTGCGGGCTCGGCAGACGGTAGCGATGGACACGTATTCGGGCCCCGGGGGGGGGCCGAGCTCGGATCGGAGATCGGACCCCTCGGAGGCAGCAGTTCGTGAAGCCGTCCAGCACAGAGTGCCTTCCTACGATCGGGCTGCACCCGGAGGTAGGCCGTGCAGTCACGCACTCCCGGAACGCACCACAAGTCTTGACGCCTGGTCGATCCACCGCATATTACATGTTTAGTATAATTAGAATAACAATAATAATAGATAGATAAAATAAAGTAAAATAAGATTAAATATATAGATAAATTGTAAGGGCCGCTCGTGTGATCTACCTTTCTCTTTTCCTGGCGTTCGGAAAGGTTAGAGAAAGGGTTTCATTCTATATGCCTCCACACAAATGATTCCAATTGTTGAAAGCCAACCAATAGGATTCCTTCTGGAGACAGCTTAAAATTCTTCTGTGGGGCATTACAAAAGGATTCCTATTGTATCCCAGGCAATGGGAATCCTTTTGTAAACATATAAAAAAAGGATTCCTGTTGAACGCCGTCCAATAGGATTCCTTTTGGAAGCAACATCAAAGGAATCCGTTGGTAGGGCATTACAAAAGGATTCCTATTATATTCCAGGCAATAGAAAACAAATGATCGGCAAACCTGTCGGAACCGCCGCCGCTGGAAAAAGACAAAAAAAAAACAGTCCGGGGGAGCAAAAATGCGGCGAAGTGGACATCGCCAAAGGAGAAGACCCCAGCACAGACGCTGCGACTGACAAGCCTGTCATCTGGGAGCAATGGGGCGGCATGGTTCAGCGCGGCGACAAGAAATCCCTCGTCTTGTTCAAGCTGGACCCGGCGAAGACAAAGAGGCGGGCGCCAGGCCCAGGCCCGATCCGCAAGCGCGATTGGAAGCCTCTGGCCTACAAGTGGGTCCACAAGCGCAACATCATACTGCACACGGACGGGGCCAGGAGTTATAAGTTGAAGCTCGAAGGGGTCAAGCATGATTGGGTTGTCCACGCCAAGAGGCGCGTCATGGTCAAGGGTAAGTGGATGTGGATCAAGCCTAAGTTCACCAAGATCACCCACCACGATGTTCCAGATGACAGCAAGCCCAACAAGACCAAGCGCGTTTGGGTTAAAGCTGGCACCCAGATCATCGACCGCATCTGGGGCGAGCTGCGGAAATACTTAGGGAATAAGAAGACAGTGAACACCAAGGCGCTGACCAACAAGATCCGCTCCTACCAGTGGTTGTACTGGCACAGGGGCGATGATTTGTGGCTGGCAACCGGGAAGATGCTGGAGGAGGCCTTTCTCAAGGAGCACTGCCAGTGAGCGGCGAGCGCTGTAGTCCCCGAAGAGTACACAATGTTCTCTTGCTCGGAGGCCACGAAACATTGTGCATCACAGGTTTTTCTGGTTTTTCTGGTCTGGGAACCAACGAAACACTGTGTATCACAGGTTTTTCTGGTTTTTCTGGTTTTCAGGTGCCGACAAACAGGAGGGGGTGGGCGGTGGGGCGAGGCCGCGGCGAGCAATTCAGCTCCAGAAGCCAGAAAAAACCAGAAAAACATGTGATACACAGTGTTTCGTTGGTTCCCAGACCAGAAAAACGAGAAAAACCTGTGATGCACAGTGTTTCGTGGCCTCGGCCGAAACCGATATGCTTGCGCGCACGGTGCCCGTGACGGATGGGCCGAGCGGATGAGTTTGTCAGCCTGGATGGCACGCCAAAGTTGAGTTGTGAAAAAACGAAGGGCTTCAACGAAGCGATTCTGTGGATTCGTGCCGTGGGCGCTCTGGAGGGTCGCTGGGGGGGGATCGACCATATACACATATATATAACACATTCACACACACACACACACACACCACACTCACACAACACACACACACCACACACGATATCAACGCGGCTGCGCGCGCGCGCACACCACACACACACACAACCACACACACACACACAGCACACACACACAACACACACACACAAACACACACACACTCACACCAACACACACACACACGCAAAACACACACACACACACTACACACACACACACACACCACACACACACACACCTCGCGCGCGCGCTGCTCTCATGCGCCTCCGCACGAGGCCCGTCTCCGCTCGGTGCCCCCACCCAGAGCGAGCATGGGGGGACTGGGGCCTCCGAGACCGCTCCTAGAGCACCCCAGAGGGGCCGCGGAGCCCCCAGACTACCCCAGAGAGCTCCAAGAGGCTCCCAGAAGCCCCCGGGGGACTTCGACAAGCCCCTCCAAGACAGCCCAGGCAGCCCCAACGTGGCCCAGGATGGGCTCCAGACCGCTAATACACAGCCCTGGAGGCCTCCCAGAGGGCCTCAAGAGAGCTCCGAGAGGCGTCCCGCGAGAGCCCGAAGAGGCCCAAGTCCGTGATTGTCATGTGTTTTTATATGTTTTTCGCTTTCTCGCGTTCTCGACCTCCCGACGCTCCACGACGGCCAGCGACGCCCCCAAGACCGCCCCAAGCCCGGCGAAGAGGCCCCCAACAGAGCCCCAAGACGGCCCCAGGGAGCCCGACAATTGCCCAGGAGGAGCCCCAGACGGCCCAAGAGAGCCCCAGGACAGGCCCAAGTTGGGCCACAGAGCGGGAGCGGGAGGCCCCAAGGTGCTCCAAGACGGCCCAGATGGCCCCCAACGTGGCCCCAGATGGGCCCAACACGGCCAATACACAGCCCAAGAGGCCCCCAACAGGCCCCAAGAGAGCTCCGAGAGGCCCCGCCAGAGCGCTAGACAGGCCCCGCCAGAGCGAGCGGGGCATCGCTATACCTTATCATCTTCACTATTTGTTTTGTTTCTCTTACCCCTCAAGGGCGGCCCTGGCAGAGCGAGGGGGGTGTTGCTTGACCATATACAGTCCCTGCTTTGTTTTGCGCCTCCCACCGCACCCGAGGTAGCCCCGTCAGAGCACACGGGGTGTGGCTATACCATAATTGTCCTCCAGTTTCGTGCTCCCCCCTCCCCTCCTGGGCAAACCCCGCCAGAGCGCCAGGGACCCCCCCGCCAGAAAGAGAGAGAGAGAGAGAGAGGGAGAGAGAGAGAGAGAGAGAGCACGACATCTCTACACCATACTCTTTTTCGCTACATCTCTACACCATACACCATATTCGTGCAGGGCGGACCCGCCCAAGCGAGCGGGCGGCTACACTATACAATGTCTCAGGTTTCGTGCCCCTCCCGCACCTCCTGAAAGGCTTCGCCAGAGCGCCAAGAAGGTCCCGTCAGAGGACCCGTCAGAGCTCCAGGCAGCCCCATACATGAGACTTGCCAGGCAAACCATTGAGCATCCCCCGTGAGCCCGAAACTTTTGATTCCACGGCCAGCATGAGGTAAGGCGTCCAGCACAAAGTAGCTATCCCTTTCCTGTGGGCGGAAACGACAACAAGTGTTTGCGGAGAAGGGCACTGATGACCAGGACATTTGCGCGCGCCCTCTGCTAATACACGACAGCTGAACGACCGCTGAAAACGAGAAGCTTGGAGCACAAGGAAAAGGAAAAAAAACAACAAAAAAAAAAAAAAACGCTACCACGCGCGCGCAACGAGGCCCCGAGCCAACCCCAACATCAGGAGCCGGCGGATGTCTGCATGATCGGGCATGGGGAGACCGAGCAGGTGTGCAAAAATCATTGAGTGTCACGATGGGGCAGAGAGGAAGTGAAAGTGGAGAAAACAGCGCAGTTCGATAAACCAAAACAAAGGCGGCAGCGAGATTGTGAGATACGCGGGAGATACGCGGGAACGTGGCGCCCCGCGTTCTGACTTCGCGTTCCTTTGCGTCGATGGCATGGCCGCCCGAAAGCGCTGGAAATCGCCGTTGTGGCCACAGCGGGGTTTACAGCGGCACCCGTGGCTCATCTGCGACTAGAAATTTGGCGCGCGTGGTTCAATGTATATGTATGTGTGTATATGTATACACATACACGTATTCATACAAGCATACATACATGCATGCATGCATGCAAACATACATGTACATAAATGTAAATACACGTATGAAGTTATATTGACATACATACATACGTAAGTCACAATCATGGCATAGTTACTGCCATGAAATAAGATTTGAAAGTTCCTATCCGTAAGGGCTTCGCCCCCTGCCGCCGGCCCCCTCTCTCGGAGAATGGGCCATGGAAGAGCTAAGTCATGAGGCCTTGGCGCTGTCGTGAAGCAGCATCGAAACTTCATGCGAAGCCGAGTCGCAATCAGCAAAACCAACTGATCACAAGAGGGGTAACCACACCTGGCGATTGGTAAGACGTGTATGGTTTAAGGGCTTGGTTACCACACCTTGCGATGAAAGGGCCGAGGGAGTTCTCGCAGTTTGGGTTACCACGCCTTGCGATGGATGTGCGTGATGAGTTCGAATTTCAGAAATGTGGCAAATCCCCTGTGTTTTTGGACCCTGACCCCGCGGATCTGCGTGAGGGGTGGCACCGAATTTCAGAAATGTGGCAAATCCCCTGTGTTTTTGGACCCTGACCCCGCGGATCTGCGTGAGGGGTGGCACCGAATTTCAGAAATGTGGCAAATCCCCTGTGTTTTTGGACCCTGACCCCGCGGATCTGCGTGAGGGGTGGCACCGAATTTCAGAAATGTGGCAAATCCCCTGTGTTTTTGGACCCTGACCCCGCGGATCTGCGTGAGGGGTGGCACCGAATTTCAGAAATGTGGCAAATCCCATGTGTTTTTGGACCCTGACCCCGCGGATCTGCGTGAGGGGTGGCACCGAATTTCAGAAATGTGGCAAATCCCCTGTGTTTTTGGACCCTGACCCCGCGGATCTGCGTGAGGGGTGGCACCGAATTTCAGAAATGTGGCAAATCCCCTGTGTTTTTTGACCCTGACCCCGCGGATCTGCGTGAGGGGTGGCACCGAATTTCAGAAATGTGGCAAATCCCATGTGTTTTTGGACCCTGACCCCGCGGATCTGCGTGAGGGGTGGCTCCGAATTTCAGAAATGTGGCAAATCCCTGTGTTTTTGGACCCTGACCCCGCGGATCTGCGTGAGGGGTGGCACCGAATTTCAGAAATGTGGCAAATCCCCTGTGTTTTTGGACCCTGACCCCGCGGATCTGCGTGAGGGGTGGCACCGAATTTCAGAAATGTGGCAAATCCCATGTGTTTTTGGACCCTGACCCCGCGGATCTGCGTGAGGGGTGGCACGAATTTCAGAAATGTGGCAAATCCCATGTGTTTTTGGACCCTGACCCCGCGGATCTGCGTGAGGGGTGTCGATTTCGAGCCCCCCTCAGTAATTCAGACAACGCGCCCAGGGGACGCTGGAAAATCCTGTTTGGGCCTCCCCCCCCTCGCGCGGTCAATCAACTAGTTACAGTAGCCAGCAAGAAGTCAACTAGTTACAGTAACCAGCAAGAAGCAGAACTGTAACACTGGAAACTAGAAACTACAACTGGTACAGGAAACTGCGAATCACGCGCCTCGCAGCCTGGTGGCCCCACAAGGGGGCCGGCGGATTTTTCCTACAAAAGCAAAACACGCCTCGCACCCTCTGCCTTCCCCCCCCCGGGGCGCGCCGCCGAGAGGCGGCCGAGCTGCGTGAGCGCCTGCAGGCGGCGCTCGGGCGCGGGATCGCGCACGCGCGCCGGCTGTGCGAGCTGGCGGCCAGGGACCCGTACGGGGCGCGAACGACAAAAATTTAGGTTGAAGTCGGGCCTGTCCCTGTACGGGAGGAAAAAGTCGGGGGCGATGTTTTGACTATTGTTTCTGAGTTTTTGAATATTTTTTGGGTGTCTTGATTTTCCGTCCAGTCTCCGCCTGTAGGAGGACATGTCCGACCTAAAGCTAGACGACGCCAGCCGTGTACCCTGTAGCAGTGCAGGAACGGCCGGAAAGAACCACACAAGATGAAATCCGAAATGAAGTCCAATACGAAATTGCACTCCCGCTTTTATCACAGACTTCCTTCCTGCCACCTCCCTGCCCGAGCTGCACGCATTCCAGCTCAGGCTGCGCCTCGACACGCTCTTTCGTGCACTGCTGCACGGCGCCAGTCGTGCACCTTGGGACCCTGGCGCTGCAATTTTGTCACGACGGGCGGTTTCGCCGCGATTCGGGGCCGCGGGGCCAGCACAGGTCGATCCGCCTCGAAAAGTGCCGCAGGAAGATGGGGTCTGGGGCTCTGGTCGCGATACTTCGCGATGCTGCAATTCTCCCGGGACGACAGATATCTGCTACAGCGTACCAGACCAGCTCGATGCACGCCGCTGCGCGTGCCAGCACGCGCGGAAGAGAGCATCGAACTGGTATGGTGCAAGGCTGGCGGCGTCCAGAAAAGGAGGCGCGGGCCCGTCGAGGCCGCCTCTTCTGCGGGTGCGGAGCCCAGATCTCCGACGATGTGGTTTTCTCAAGTCGGTCCGTTGCTCTTCGATCTCGTTCCTCGGGGGCCCCTTTCGTTGTCGGGCCCCGGGGCAATCAAAGATGGATGCGGGACAAAAGAGTAACCCTGGGAGAGCGATTGGGACTTTTGGGGCCGCAGAATGAAGCCTCGTATCAGCGGATGGTGGGAAGAGCAGCCGAGCCGAACCGTGCCAGCTTGCTGCTGGTCGGTGCGGCGGAGCTGAGAAGCTCGACGACGGCGACAGCTAGTTCAAGTTCAAGCACCCTCGTCGTCGTCGCCCATTTGCTGTCTCTTCTCAACAGGGAAGTGATCCACCAGCCGCTCCCAGCATGTATTTCCGGCGTGCAGGGAAACGCTTTGCCAAGAGCAGATGCAGCTTTTGTGCGCCTAATCGTGTAGTACGGTATTTGTGCGTTCTGGACGCAGCCTTTTTGTGAATGACATTGCAAGCCACCTGTATACGACAGCACACAATGAGTTACGATTGTTTTTCAGGCTAGAAGTTGACCCACCATGCGAACCACGAGCCAGCTGAAGGGTGCGCAGTGAATAAGCCACGGACAAACTGTTCTAAGCTACGTACTGGTAAGAAGCGTTTTCCAGTCAGCTCGTAAACAACGAGGGTTCGCTAGCAGTTTGCAGTCGTTCACATAGAATTCAAGAGTAGTTGCTCTGGATCTAGCCAGAGTGTGGCCAGTATGACACGTCCAGCATCTGTGAGTCAGCTAGGATTAAAGTCCCTTACGCGAGGCTGAGAAGAGCACACGACATGTTTTCAGAGAGCCGTGTGTAAGCGACGCCAGATTGAGGGATAACCCAAACATGCCACGGGTATCCCGTTATAGTGCAACGGTGAGGCGACGAGAGGGCAGTCAATGTATCGGTACATTATTTGCCAGCGTAGACCCAAAACGGTAAGTTTGTGCATTCTGGATGTTGAAGCTATGAGGTGCAAGTTGTGTGGTGCAATCTACGTGGTGCAAGTTGTGTGGTTCAAGCTATGTAGTGCAACATGAGTGTTGAAATCACATCTGCTGCAATAGTATGTCGTGCAGTATAGCCAGCTGCATGCGGCAAGTCCCGACACCATACCATCCCAGCATTCTGGTTGGCGACAGTTCGAGGGGGCACGGGAGGCCGTTACATGTGTCACCTCGTGTCTCCAGGGTTCGGGAAGCCATGATGGCGATGATGTTGTTCGGTTACTGATGATGAAGAAAAATAAGATGATAATATGATAATGATTGTGGTGGTGATGCTGATAATATTGGTGATGCTGATGATGGTGGTAATGATGATGGTGATGATGTTGATGGCGACGACGATGATGATGCTGATGATGATGGTGATGGTGATGACGGTGATGGGATGCATGACGGTGATGATGGTGATGGTGATGACGGTGATGAGAAGGAGGAGGAGGAGGAGAAAGAAGATGAGGAGGAGGAGGAGGAGGATGAGGAGCAGGAGAATGAACAGGAAGGCCCTCACATGTGACACATGTCGTCCTCAGTATCCGAGGAGCGCTCACTCAACTCGTTTGGGCCGTGTTGGGGCTGCCTCGGCCTCCTGTGAGGCAGTCTTGGGGATCTGTTGGGGGCCCTCTCGGGCCGTCTTGGGGCACTCTGGCGCAGTCTTGGGGCTCTCCTGGGCTGTCCTTGGGCCCTCTTGGTCGTATTGTGGGTGCCCGGGGGCCGCCGTGGGGCCGTCCTGGGCCGTCGCAGGGCTTTCCAGCGCCGTCTTGGGGTTGTGTGGGGTGCCTCTTGGGCCATCGTGGGACCCCTTTGGGCAACCCTGCAACCCTCTTGGGGGCCTCTCGGGCCGTCTTGGGAGCCTCGTGGGGGCCTCTTGGGCCGCTTTGAGCCACAGTGGACAACCGAAGGGGGGAACCCAGAGGCGGGTGTCTTCCCGTTGGAGGTCCGCTTCGTGGCCCTCTTGGAGAGGCATCTCGGGCCGTCTTGGAGCCGTCGTGTGCCGCCTTAGGGGCTATCTTGGGCCATCTTCGTTTCAGGGGGACGTAAGACCTGGGTACAGGGGACTCGGGAATCCCCGACGAGGTCGTCAAAAAAATGACGAGGCCGAGCCTGCATTTTGACGAGGTCTCCCGCTGCAGACATCCCACGAAACTCCTCCTCGTCAAAATCCGAGGCGCGGTCGTCAAAAAACGATGGCGAACCCGAGTCCTGGCAAACCCGGGTCTTACGCTCCCCCGATCGTTGGGTCATCTTGGCGTCCCGGGCTGCCCGCCAGGAGCTCGGGGCGCGGACGCGCTGCTCTGTCTTCAGGAGGGGTCGTGGCGCCAGCAGCACGGATTCATATAGCTGTTTGTGGTTTCGGGAGGAGGGCGATGCGTGCAGCGAGATGCGAGCAGGGGGCTTGAGCAGAGTTCAGAAGCCCCACCAGGCTGACCTGGCCATTCTTCCACGCCTCAACGTGCACAATGCACGGTGTGCAACACCGGGTTGCAAGCTGAGTGCTGCAATGTACGTGCTGCAACGCATGTGCTGCAATTTATGTGTGGAACTTGCAGTCGTCAACTCCAATGCTCGTGCAAACATCTCACCGTCCCACCCGCAACTTGTTGACAGAGCTCACCTGGCCCTGATCTCGGCGAGCGCACGGGCGCGTGGAACTCAACCGCGCAGACAAGTCCGTCCTGCGGGTCGCGAAATTATGGTGGCGATGGTGACGACCGCGACACCAACAACGATGGAGATGACAATGGTGACTACGATTCTGCCGATGGCGATGACAGTGGAGACTGGGACGATAAGATGTCGACGATGGCCACGATGGTGGTGGTGATAAAGCTGATTGTGATGATAATGGCGGTGGTGACGATGACGCTGTCGATGATGATGACGACGGTGCTGATAATGCTAATAAGGAAGGGCCTGCGCGCAGAAAATTTACGAGGACAACGACATCGACGATGACGACGATGCCGGCGGCGGCGATGACCCCGACGATGACGTCTTCGATGATGATGCTGGCGATGGCGATGATGACGTTGACGATAGTGATAACGATTGTGTTGATGAGGGTAATGAGAAATTGCGCGCCCGCCGAACGACGAACATCCTTACGTGTTTCATTGGAAACGATTGTTTTTCGTAGTTGTTGGGCACCTATGGAAAGGTCGGGCATGTCCCCCTACAGGCGGACTTTGGGCCAAAAATTAAGATACCCCAGCAATATTAAAAAATGGTCAAACAGATACTCGAAAAATCGTCCCCAGCCTATTTTTGAATATTCCCCCTGTAGAGGGACACGCCCGACTTGAGCCTGTGTGCTGGCGTGGCCGGAAGACCAGCGGCTTCGGAAGCAGCCCGACGTGCGCGCGCGGAGACGCCCGCGCGCGATCGCACCGACAGAGCCGGGTGGGCGGCCGATGACGGCTGAAGGCGCTCGCTCTGCGCGCGCGAGGGGCCCGCATGGTCTCCTGGGACGGGCGGCTCAGGCCGTTCTGGCTCAAGCCGTAAGTCGGGCCCGTCCTTCTGCAGTCGGGGGCGGACAGACCCCCCAACAGTGACACGTCGATTAGTGAATTGTCCGTTTTCGGTTCTCGAGAGGGCGCCGCGGCCTTTATTTTCCAGGCTTGCGCCCGCCAGGTTTGGGCCTCAGGTCGTTTTCACTAAACCACGTTTTACAAAAGGGAGGTCTGTCCATCCCCGATACGGGAGGAATATTCAAAACTATTCAAAAAATAGTCTGGGGACGATGTCTTTTGTATTTGTTGACCACATTGAGCATCTTGAATTTTTCGTTGAAATCTCCGCCTGTAGGGGGACGTGCCCGACCTAACTCAAGCCACCTCTGTCCTCGCGCCAGCGCAGAGCGGATTCCGTTCGGAGCGACAGGGTGGGCCCGGGGTGTCCTGGAGAGTGTCGCTCCGGACTTCGAGGTGGGTTTCGTGCGAGTTGTTTGAGGCCAGGAACGAAGACCAGAAAGGACCCACGCAAAAGTCACTCCGTTTTTCGATCGCCGTTTGAGGGCTTTGCATCGACGGACATCCACGCCGAAAAATCCGCTGCAGCATGTCTGCAAGGTCGGCGCAGTGACATGGTCTCCTTGGACAGGTGGCTCAAGCCGTTCTGGCTCAAGCCACCTTTGGGGCGGTGGTGATCTCGAATTTAGCAGTGTGTGTGATTGCCGATCAGCCAGTATCCCACCAGCCATGCTCAGCCCGCGCGCGGTGTTCCAAGGAGTTGAAGCGGGTCTCGCCGAGCAGTGGAAGTGTAAGGCGGTGCGTCCCGAGACGAACTGGCTCAGCTCGGCCCCCACGCGATGCC